CTATTTTAAGAAAGTACTTCATTAAACAGTAACTAAAAAAAATAGAAAGACAGAAAGGAACTGAAAGTAAGCGCCTTATTTAGTGACACAACAGTTAGACACATGAACTGAAATCAGCTGATACTAGGGGAATTGATAGGCAAGCAGACTAACAGTTCCAAGAAATTGGACTACTAGGAACCGGTTCTTTACAAGAGCTGGTTCTTGATTCCCATCCCCAATATAAGGTGCCAATTAATCACCTGATTGTCAGAGTCAATAGCAGTCAATTGGCAAAACCCCAAAAAAAATATCCCAAATATCCCAGCTGTGACTGTAGGGTCACCCCGTCTCCCCTCACATTACACCCAATATTTGATCCAAATTATACATTCCAATGAATCATCTAAATTTAAATAGCCTGTTTGATGTAATATAGGCTAATACTAATTTAATAATGAATATGGAAGGTTTTTTGCACTATAGTGCATCTCACCAATAGCGTAGAGCTCCATGATGACTTTGTAGGCAGCAAGGAATCTAAAAGGAAACTGTCGGCTCTGAACAACTGCTTTCTGTAAACAAATTACAAACAGTTACAGAGAACCTGATGAGCTAATTTCAACAGCAAAACAATTTCACTCATCTTTTACTCGCTTTTTATATGCTTTAAAATAAAGATTTATAGTGTGTTTCACCTCATTGGTCAGTCTGCTGAGGATCTTGTTGTGATGAGCCTCACTGATGCCCTTAGTAATCATGTTCCTCAGATTTCTCAGCATGGCCATGAATGGAAGAGACTTGGTGTCTGCGAAGGGGAGACATTATCTGTCTGTCTGTGTGTGTAATCATGTTTATCTTTGAGTATTTGCAGGTTATGTATACACGCATGCTCTGTCTACTTTAAAGTCTGCTGTACTAAATATTAAATAACTAATTTAAACATAAAATTCATTGATGTGTTGTAAAGAGTGATTGAGGGCTTTTAACTTGAGGGAATGAACCTCTGAAACACACTGAACACACAGAGGGAAAGATGATGC